ATAATCTTCATCTAACAATGTCGTTTCACTCAAATTTTTCCAGAAAGGACCATTCAGCTACTAGACAAAAGAACTTCTGAAGAATTTAATGCATTTAGTAGAAAAAAAAAAAAAAGTCACTAATCCATTTGAAACAGATTCCTAGTGACAAAATAAGAAAAGCCTTTTACTTTTCAGAATATGATAGCAAAGAACTGTGGTCTGGTTTGTCTAATTACCATCCTTCCAATTGTACATGAAAACCAGGTCTTCAATGTGAATAATATATGTAGTGTGTACTTTTAAGTACAATTTCTTTTCAAATTTTACTTCGTTTGAATGACTGTAAAGATCAGGTCCTATATGTCATCCATATGCTCCTCAGAACAGAAATATTTCAGGAGTGTTAAAACCTGTACCAGTTTAAACTACAGGATCTAAAAGTATAGCAGTTCTGTAGTTTGCAATTAATGCTTGTGAAAGTCATTTTGCTTTATCTCTATAGTTTTTCTCCTATATTCATTTTGATATAAAATGAAGATGTCAACAGACCTCTGGTGAAACAATGATAAATTTTCTATTTCATGCCAAGAAAATAGGTTTCTTCTTTCTCCAGCTGGTAGAGTTGGAAGAAATTTTCAGGGAATAGGAGTCTTCTCAGTTATTTATAAAGGAAGATTGAAGTTGATATGATATTGAAGATTGAGGTTTCTTCAGAATTCTCAACTGTTTAGATTTTGGTACAATTCTAATTTCGGTAAGTTTGCATCAAATTGTTATAAATACATGCGTACCTTTGAAGAGTGCATTAGAATTTAGATATTTTTTATTAAATAATTCATTATGAGCCCCAAAAAGAAGAAACCACATTCTTCAACCTCTGACTCCTACTTTTAAATTCTTTACTAAAGAAATACAGTTGTCAGAGTCAGTCTTCAAGAGGTGTTTTCATAGAAAAAGGAATTGAAATTCTTTTAAAAGAAGCAAAGCATTTTGCCTTTACATCAGTTAGATCTGTTGGATTACAGCTTCATGCTTTGAGAAAGAACAGGGCATTGAAATGCATTATAAAAACAGAGTACACACTTCACCTTGTCTCAAATGATTTACTTTTACAACATTCTTCTCCAGGTGTTCTGTAGAGGATTGCATCTGACAGATATGGAGAAACATTGAACAGCAAGCATTTGCTAGGACACCTCTGCTGATAAATAGGAGACAAACCTGCATATATATGAATGGTTTTGATTCAGAGCAGAAGAGAAACAGCGAATATTTTAAAAATGCTTCATTGGCTACATTTATGTTACCATGGTCTTCAGCTAAAAAGCAGTGGGATTACTTGAAAAAAAAAATCCTGTTTAATTAATATTTGTTCCTATATTTTGAGGTGTCATGATGATTGTAAACTCCTAGACATAAAAGTCAGACTGTAACATGGAGATTGCTGACTAATGAGCCCAACAAATGACAGAAAATACTGATTTTGTGTAAAGCAACTTTAACCCACCTATGATTAGCTTTAAAGGCAAGGTAAGGAGTGCAAACAGTTACTCAGGCAACAAGTAACAGTGAACTGCCCACCAAAAAAGGAAGATGAAGATTTAAAAAAACCCCAAACAACCAAAAAAGCCCAACAAACCTGTGAGAAGTGCATTCTCCCTGAGCAAGTGACAGATTAAACCTGGGTTTGTGAGTTTTCCTCATAGGGCTCACGGAGAAGACAAAATGAAGACTGGACATGGACTTAGAAAACAGAATTAAGTCCAGACAGGAATATCAAGATAAATGGAAGAGAGAAGGCAGAACAAAAAGCTGATGTCCTCCATTTACTGAACAACAGAAACTGAATAGAAGATCAACAAACCAAAAAATAATGACTGTAAGAAAATGGCAGGAGGATTAAGAGTCAGTTTAGTGACAGCTATGCTGCAGTGGGCAGCAATGAGGAGAAACATGCCGAAGGAGAAGATAGGATGACAGAAGAGAGAAGCTGCTAGACCCATAAGAGAAGAGGTAATGGAGATAGCTTTGAGAAATTGCCCAAGTATAAACAAAGACATTATACAGAAGAGAAGGCAGGATAGTTAATAGACAGGAGAAATAACTGAGAATAGAACTTTAAGACAAGAGGCAATGTTTTCGTGACTGGAGAGTCCTTAGTGCAGACTAACAAACCTGCCACTACAACAAATCCCAAGAAAAGTCAGTACAAAATCTGCCAAGAATAAGCATGCACACTATGAGGTCAAGGATGAAAGGAATCTTCAAAGAAACAGGGAGAAATATACAGACACTGATCACTTTCCATGCTGGGGCACATCCTAGATTTCAAATGGAACAGACCAAGCGGATTACTCCAAACTAGGGTAGCTGCTGAGACACACCACGCCCCGGGTGATATCCAACAGAATTATTCCAGATACTGGGGAAGGAATCTAGACATGGTCTTTCTCCTCTAGGACTGCTTCTCAGAGGTAGGTTACAACAAACTCATCAGATATTTAAAATAATTGCTTGCACTAAGTGCAAGAATACATTTTGTAATATAAAAATATACACTATAGTGTATGGTATGCAACATAAACATATACTCCAATAAAATAAAATATTGGTGCCACTCAGTATTATATTAGACATTAATAATGGTAATGGAAAAGAAGAGAACTAGAATGGGAACAGTAAAATATGCAAAGAAAGACTCAAAAGGAAATTTCAAAAATATGTTAGAGAATATTGAGTTCTGAGTAGACAATGAAGCACTGATCAACACTCATTTAATAACTTCATTATTAACCTTGGAAAGAAAAGTGTAAAGATATTTCACTTGCTGACACAAAATTGGCAACCCTGTGAGCATGGGAAAAATCAGATTCTTGTAATGGAAAGACTCCCTGACACTAAGGAGTGGAATACAGATATGGATGAAATTCAACTGCAGAAAGCAAAGGTCATTCATGCAGGGACCAATAACGAGAATTTCTTCTATAATCCAGGAGCTTCTCTGTTGGAAACAATAAAGAAGGAAAAGCAGATGGATCTACTAATCAGTCACAGACTATCTATGAACCACCAATGCCATGCAAGCATGAAAAAGTGAATGTGATTCCAGATTATATAACAGAAGGCTACAGGCCATTCCTCAAAGACCCATGGTGTCATTCCCACAGTTTTAATGGTAATACACCAGCAAGCAGTAGATTAAAGAACAGACACAGGCACCTTCTAAATTAAATAACCAATGGACTCATATCCTGAGAAGTTATTAAGCGATGGCAGTTTAGTGAAAGCCTTATAGAATTGTTCATCTATTATTATGCACTAAAACTAAGTATTAAAATCAGGGACAGGTTCCTGTTATTTTGGTGTAATGCAATTGCACAAAATAATACACGTTCAGCCACATGACAACTTACAATTATAGGTTTAATCATGCAAACACTTAGATCCATTAATAATTGCATATTAAGGTACTTTTCTTTTAATACCTCAGATTCAAAATTAGTAATCAAAGGAGGACATTTAGAATAGGAATGTCAGTTGACAAGGCATATTCAAATCAATATGCCAAGAGATAAGTATGATAATGGAAATCATCTAATAAGAAGGTCCAGCTGTTTAAAACGCACACATTTACTCTTTTATTTATTGGATTTGTTAATTTCTTATGTAGCACAATCATTAAGAGAGATCTTAGAATACTAAGCATTGCGGGTTATATGTACTGTAGGTAGCCATTCAACGTGAACATTGTAGGTCCCTTCTAACTCTGCATATTTTAACATGCAATAACTTGTGTCGAAGAATAGTACATGACCTACTAACAAAGCAGCAAAGTTAATTGTCAAAAGACTAGGTAGCATAATTTGGAATTTAGTACTTTTTTCTAAAAGTATGCATTGAGAAGTTGCACATTTTTTCCATGGGCAGTATCAGTTTTCTGGTAGTGACATGTGACAGCTCTGATCTTTTTGCAGTTAGTCAAGAACTGGCTTCCTGAAGATCTTCCTTTGCAGCATAAGATTTATTACATATTCTTCTTTCACTTAGACTGACCTGGTTTTATTTTATAATTATTTGAAGAATATTTCTTGCAACTTTTCTGTATCAAGAAGAAAGGAAGTGAAGAAAGCAATCAGTAGGAAGTCAGTATATGAATTATCTATTTCATTTAATGTCTATTTCTCATAAGGATTAAATATAAATTATATGAATATTTATAATAAGAAAACTGCAGGAAATATGGATGTAGAATTTATTGCAACAGGATAAAAATAGATGAGGATTTCTAGGTACATTCAAGTACAGAGAAAAAACAAGAAATAAACAAATTCTTTGTATTATTTGTTTGCTTTTTGTCATCACATACAAAACACTTTCTCCTTCAATTAGGCTTTTGTAATTTAATTCCTTTACACTACTAGATTTCATGCTACAAACTTTAAACTTCCTGATATGGAGATTTCTGTAAGATTTCAGACAGCATATATATACTATATAACATTTCCTCATTATTTAAAGACTGTACAGGTACAATGGACTTATGGATACAGAATAAAATAGTATTCAGCTGGCCAATAAAGTTTATTTGTTGGTTTTGGAGTTGTAGGAGTTTTTTAATTTTCTTGACACATTGAAGAGACTATACTAGTCAATCACTTAAATTTGGCGGATTAACTTCTGTTCAAACAGGCCAACAGTTACTACTAAAATTGTGTGAGTTAACTTATCAGTCCAGAATTTTTTCTTGTTGATATCTGCTTCCAAAAAATATAAGGATTTATCAATAATGTCAAAACCAAGAGGACAGGAAGAACTTTTAGACCAAGACAAGATATCCTAGTACTTTCAACAAAAATAATCAGTTGAAAGGCTTATTTTACCTTACAATTACTATACAGTCAGAATACTTATATCAAAGGACATTTAAACAAGCAGAAGCATGAACTAGAAGTGGCATCTTCTCTTTACAGTATTAATCCAAAAATTTTCAGGAAACAAGTACCTTTCAAGAATGGCAAATACAAAATATATAAAACATACTTCTAGGATTCTTACCTAAACCTCTCTCACACTGATTATTTATGTGGCTGACCTTCCTTGCTTATAGAAGCACAACAATTTAAAAAATGAAAATATTTGAAAAAAATTATGTGAGAATTGATACAATATGAATGAAACTAATACTTACCATGGCAGGCAATTTACCTCTGTTCTGCTGTAAATTATAAATTTGGGATAACTAGTATAACAGCTATGGCAGAGGTGTAATTTTTCAGAACTTGACTAATAATAGACATACATGGACAAGAAGTTCTCTGTAATAAAAATTATGCATAACTGATTTCACTTATTAAAAAATGAACTTCATAAATTTAGTCCTCAGAAAGATACAAAACCAAATTATCAAACGATTTGTCTATAAGGACCTTGAGGGTATTATATCAGTACAAAATGAATGATTCTTTGCCAAGAGGCACTAGAACACAAAGGAATGAACTTAAGATACAACATGGGAACATGGGGGAAAAAGTTGTAAGAAAAAAAAAAAAGCTATTCTACCACGAGAATATTCAAACAGAGACTCTAAAAGGCTGTAGAATCTCCATCCTTAAGGATATGCAGAATTTGACTGCAAATCATCACGAGCAACCTTATCCTTTTGGAACAGGAGGCTGGATTAAATGACCTCTGGAGGTCCTTTGCAACTTATTCTATGGTTCAAAGATTTAATTTTCTTCTTTGATGTGTGACCTGATAGGTTTTACTGGAAGGGGAAAGCTATAGCAATGCAATACCTCAGCTTAAGTTAAACTCTTCTCATGACACTAAACATCTAGGAAGTTCCAGCATTTAATTAATTACTGAAATACAGAACTTGCAGAAATACTAAATTAAAAGACAGTTAAGTCACAAGTTTGGTAGTTTTCAACACTTTCTGTAAGACTGATAACCAAATAAATACTACAACTCCCCATTATCTGTGCTGCATGATAGCACTAAATACAAGAACCTTCTGACTCTGAAAGCTTCTTACTTAAGGAGTAATCTTGTAACAAGCCTTTGGCTCTTGCCAGCTTAACTGTTCTCAGTATTTGATGAACTTGTTAAGACATACAGTAGTAAAAACTACATACCCAATTACTGATGCTTTAAGACCAATGCTTGTTTAACTGATTTGGAAGCTGACACAAGAAGGACAGAGTGAAAACACTCCTTTAGCATAAGCAAATATATTTTAGTGCTACTGTTATCAAAGGAAAAACAGCCCTGTAGCCAGTACTTCCCGACCATCCTGTGCCTCCTATTGTAGGGATTGGAGAAATTAATTCAGGATTCTTTCTCTTGTTCCAGTTCTCTCATTTCATGTGGAAGCTCTGTTGCAGAGCTTCATAAAGCTCTTCTGTATCACCAATAGCACAGGCTGGAGTCCTACAGGGCAGCTGCCACTATCCATGGGGCAGCAAATAAATGGAAATAATCAAAATTTACAGGCCACCACTTACAGGAGAAGCAGTAACTTATCAATTATAAAATATATGTGACTGAATTCAATTGCTGTTAAAATATCATGATGAAACATTGAAACATAAAAGTTGCTTTTGAATGTGTAATATGGTCTGTTACACATGGAAATTTATTTAAATGACTGTCTGAAATATGAGAGGACATTTTTTTATTATCTGCTTTTCCTTTACAGCTCATTTTCTTGGTGCTAATTTTAGCTTCCAATGGTTTACATACACTTTAATTTTCACTTTAAGACGCAGTCTTAATATCTTAAAAAATTTCTTTGCTAATTTATTACATAATTGAGAAAATTATGAAGAATTTATTCACTTTCCCGGCAGAATTTCATCCAATCAATGTAATTAGCATCTAATATTTTGCAGATGAAGCTGACATCCTGTAACCTGGCCACTTGCTGATCATGCAAAGTACTGCTACATTCAAATTTGTCTAATTTCTAATTTCTATACACTGTCTTGTTATCTCATCTTCCTTTTCTTTATACAGGTCTGAAACTATTTCAACAGTATGCTGCTCACTGGCCCCTTACTTGAACAGTTTCCAAAAAAATTATCCATTTTTTTACTGAAAGAGGGTCAGCCTTGTCACTAGCAGGTTCTTCCTCTGAGGCCGGATGCTCATTGATGCTCTCATTTTTTTCGGGATGTGGTTTTAAAGCCATTCTGTCAGCTTGCACTTTGCAGCAGACTGACTTGATCCAGAAGTTAATTGCATTGACATTAACCTGCTTTAACAAGCCTAAAGTATCAATAAATCATTTCTTTAGTCACTGCGCTTTTCCTGCTGCTTTATTGATATACCTCACCTGAACTGATAAATAGGGTGAAAAAGATCTCTTCTAATATACTTTGCATGATTAATAATACCTTTCTAAAGAAAAAAATCTAATGCTAATATACATGAATACATAAAAAAATGTTAGATTACTTTAGTTTTGCTATTCTCATCCCTTTTTTAAGATTCGGTTTTAGGAAGACATTGCATTTAGGGAACACAGTTTTACTTGTTATGTGGCTGACTGATGAGTCCAACTACAAATCCATAACAAAACTTCTCTAAATAACCCAAAAATTCCTTTGAAGAAAATTATATTTTTTTCCTTCCTCTCCTTTCACGCCTAGTACCTTATGAACATATGCTGAGTGCCAAGTTCACTCACATTGCATACTGGCATTCCAGAGCAGAAGTGCTTCCACTACTGAGAATAAATTATCTGCTGTAATGTACCTCTTCACTTGAGCCCACACTTCAGTGCAGCATATCAACATTGTTTTCCATCAGTAAATCTATAATCAAAATTTACTGTGAAATTCTAATTACATCTTCTTCTTTGTTACTAAAACAGAGAAAATAAGCTGGCATAAGTAACCTGTCAAGCAAAGATTGTATGGCTATTCATAAGAATCTGCAAAAACAATTACACATAATACTTGTCAAACTTAAATGTGAGGTTGAGAGTAATATAAAAACAACAAAAAAGTAAAGTAGTCATATTTATTGTGCATACATGTGCATATGGCTTTAACTGCTGGACATGAAAAGTTGGCTTTGGGAGACATAGAGATTTCTGCATATCTGAATGAAATGAGAATTTTGAGGACTTTTTCTAAAAAGCAGAGAAAAAAAATATTGTTTTAAAGATTATTTTTCTGATGTTGTTAAAAGGAAGTCTTACCATTAATCTGAGTCAGATTTTTGAAAGAATCAATGCAATGAACTTCCACTTAATATTGTTCCCATTATAAGAATGAATGGTATTTTGTATGCAGTTACAAGGAGAAAAGAAAATCAATGTTGTGGGTTTAACCTTAATCACCATACTTGCATATGGCAAGCTCTCACTGTCTACTTTGTGAAGATATGAATCCATGGGTTTGTGGATGTGTATCTACACAGAGAAGAAAAAAAAGGAAAAAAGTACATAAATAAATTAGTCAACATACCACTTGAGTTCACTGCGTAAATGTTGAATTTTCAAATAAAAATAAGCCCCTAATCATTTCCCTGCTCCTCATTTGGCTTGTGACTGAATCAGTTTTTTTTCAAAGCTACTGGAGACCAAAGCCATGGCAATTTCTTCCTGTAGGCAAAAGAAGAAGAGCATAATTTTCATCTCATAGGTTCTAACAATCCGAGTGGTTACTGGCTTTTAATATGTAATGAATAGATTTGACTCTGGTGGCAAAAATGGGGAAAAATAGCATATCTAACAAAGTACAAATTTTTCAGCTAGTAACCAGAAGGGTTTAATACTTTTAGTCAAAGGCCATTTTAATGCAACTAGCATACTGATTAGAAAAGATCACCCTAAACTGCTTGAATTTAAAGTATGATAACCTTTAAAGGAGAAATTAATCAATTTTCTAAGTACAGCAGACAGAAAGTTCAACTGATAAGAATCACTTGTCAAAACTAATAAAACAGGACCACATCTAATATTAGCTTTTTGCACTACATTTAGCAGTTAAAATTCTAAATGGTGCCTTAGTGAAGAAGTTACATTATTTGTGGTGCATGCGTTAGGTAAAGATGGAAACCAGAAATATTCAGTCTTTTCATACCAAGCCAAGGGAAAGAAGAAGCAGCAAGAGTAAAAGAGTAAAATCAAAACATTCAGCAAGGTTCAAGTATTCAGTTCATTCAAGGAAGATTTATTGGTTTCACTGGGATGTAATTTATTATTATTCATTAGACCCTTAAAAAATTGGGTATCTAACTATGGGTCACTATAAGCTCACTATGTAGTCAAAGTGTTAGGAACTTCCTGAAAGAAACTTATACCATTTTTTTTTTAATAAGTGTCTAAAATAGGAAGGATTAAATAGATAGCAAAGGCAGTGAATATGAGTATCTTATCCCTACAACATATGTCTCCTTACAACAGTATTTTTTTCAGTCTGAGATGCATGCTCAAATTCACAAGCTAAATTAATGTGGCTCTGCTCAGTGAAACCATTTTTGTATCATATGTGACAAAATTACTTGGATATTCATTGTATGAATGTATTATGAAAGTGTAAAAGCAGAAGGTTCAAAAAAAAAAAAAGAAAGAGAAAGATAAAGCACAAGAAGAATTTTTTATAAACATTTCAAGGCGATTAAAATGATTAAAATGACAGTGTTCTTCTCAGACAAGTTCCTATCATCTCACAGAGCCAAGTTTCTAATCTCATTTTACCCTTTTAGGGAAACAGCACATCAGCATTTAACAGCAAGATAAATGCAGTTCCCAAGGGGTAAAAAGGCTGCTGTTGAGAAGCAGTAGAGACTGATGGAAGGAAACAGAGGTGATAATTATAGAACAATACAATTAAATAATCATTTCGGTTAGAAAAGACATTTAAGATCAAGTCCAATCATTTACCCAACACTGCCAAGTCACATACCTAAACTATGTCTCCAAGTACATAGAAACAATAAAAATTATAAGCTTTTTGCCTTTTTAAATCCCATTTTGAATGTCAAAGAATGACTCTCAAATAATTACTAAAAAAGTCACTTCCCTCTAGGCTGTGGACTTCTATTCCACAGATGTTGCCTAGTATGATGGGTTTACTGTACCATAGTGAGTACTATAGGACAAATTATGTCATCCTTACTTGTTCCTCATACCAAGAATGTAATTTTCTTTACAGAATGGAGATGGATGCAACAGTGTAAACCATTCTTACTGACTCACTGGATAAGGAAGATTTAATAAAATGTAAACAAAAAGCTAGTAAAAAAAAAGTAATTTCTAAAGTGAGTATGAGAAGTTTCTTTATAACACAGCTCAGATGAAAAACTAAGTTCTGATGGGCTCCTGCTTTACCACCTACCTTTGTAGCAAAAACTTTCCCCTTTTGCAGTCATCCCTGGAGTTTCCAGTCCCCCTTGGGTTCTTATTCCTGCACTGGAAACAAAGAATATCAGTTGCCAAATTTACTTGAAAGCTATTGTCTCATAGGCAGGCAAATGCAGTAACAATACAGGATGTATACAACTACTTTGATTTGGTCACTGTTGGGATGAGATCAGATTCTAATGGCTTATTTACACTTAGTTTTATTGCTACCAGTAAGGGTAAATTATATATTCATTTAAGAAGGTTGTTCAGCTACTATATTCATAGCTGGTTGTAGGCCTGGCCTCCAGAGGGTATATATTTCTTAGTCAGATATACTGGATAAGCATCACCAAAGCACAGGGCATGGACACTAGCAGCCCTGTGAAAGGACAGGGGGCTTTCTTACCTTTCTTACTTAGGCTTTGAGGCATGAGATGTTGTGCCTGGGCATTCATACTCAGAGTGTAGACTGGAGAGCAATTAGCTCTGCAGTAGTTTCACGAGTGCATGCTGATGACTTTTGTGAGGTAACAACAAATTGGAATCAATGGAGTTCGGCTTTTAACAGAATAATAATGGCAGAAGTGGTTCGTACAACTATGCACCTTTCAAGCAAAAGATTAGATCATCATGTGTTAAGATTTTAAAGCAGAGCAGTAGCTCAGCCATGCATCTAAGTAGATGAATGGGGCTGTGTGTATTAAAAAATTATAGCCTTTTATGTTTATAGATATTTGTGGAGGATAGAATGAACAAACTGATTTATTCAATGAAATTTGTTATTGAACTTACATAATATTCACATTATTTTAAAGAAATCTCTGTTGGAAGGGAAATAAGCTGTAGCTTCCCAGATTCATTTCCTCTCTGCATTCTTCTACATTGGTCCATTTCTAATAATTGTCACACACTGAGATGACATCAGTCTGCCTAATTTAAACACGTAAAACAAGGCAGAGAGGAATTCTCTCTAGAGGCCTTCAAAGATACCTATTGTTCACCATCTTCTATACAAAGAAGTTAGGCACTGCTTTTTTACTCCCAGTAATGCAAGTGTGAAAAAAAGGTATATGTACTATAGAGAGTAGATCCCCCTCTTGACTATTAGGAAAAGCACACATTTGCTTTTCTCTCTTTTTTTTTTTTTTTTTTTTTTTTGGGGGGGGTCTGTTTTGTTGTAGTTATTGTTACTGTAGTTGTTTCATTGATTTGGATTTTTTTAAAATAAAATACAGCGTTTTAAAATATTTGACCATATAGCATAGGTATCTGACTGTGGGCATTGACTTAGGGTGACTGAACATAGAAATGGGCTCCACAGAGAGGTTGTGGAGCATCCACCCTTGGACATATTCAAAATTCACCTCAACATGGACATGTGCCATTTTCTACAGATGGCCCTGCGCTGAGTGAGACACTATTGTGCAAGAAGCAGCAGTCAAAGCAGCAATACTTCATTCATACTTCAGCTATTTTCTGCAGATCTACTATACATATAAACTGCACCTCTAAAAACAAAGATGGGAGGTTCAGGATAATGTCTTACAAAATTAAAGAAAAAGGCCTTAAAAATAATGGGGATAAATAAATTTGAGAATTTATTCCCTAAGTATCGGGTTTTCACTACCAGAATTCAGACCAGTTTTATCCTCTGTCAGAGTATATTTGCCATGTTAGCTACCAATTGACTACTCACACATGCAAATCCTCACTGAGAAAGGTTTTGTATTAACAAAAGCATGTGCTTCAAAGGTAAGATTATTGTTATTCTTTCAAATATAGCAGAAATTACATATTTTATATCCCTTTTCAAGGCCTCTCCCACTTAGAATGTGTAGCATTTACTTTAAAACAATTATGCTATATGAAGCACTGCTTGAAGTATCATCATTTGAGTATTACTGGCACAGAAACTTCAGATCCAGAAATATGCTACATTCATTTATTCTTGTTATGATATAAAAAAGTAAAGCAGCATGAAAAATAAAAGTTCCTATTGAAAAACATAAGAATATTAAATACAATTTGAAACTGAATTGTCTAGTAATCTTCAATGTACTTAATCTGTCTGGTTTTCACAGAAAATGGAGGTTAAGAAAGGTAGGAAAATTCAAAAAAGTAAATATAATCTACTGCTAAAAATTTGCCTTGCCAAGCACAATTTATAAAGCTGCTAAACAGCTTTTGAGAGATTTGGAAAAGTCTGAAGAAAGCTAGGAGGCAAAAATTCTAATAGTTAAATAAATCCCATTCTTACTCACATGGATGTCAGGACTTAGACAGAAATGGTTAAAGAATTGTGAAAACTGCCAGCAATCCATCAGACTACAAAGCTAAAATAGTTCTTTTGGGTGTTCAGGCAGATTAGCTATCCACCAGACCCGGATTTTGCCTTTAACAAAAGCAAGGGGATTGCATGATCCTAGAAATCTTGCTTTATGAAGAAAGGTAGTGTCATCCTACTAAAACATGGCTGGTTGAATGAAATATATGGATGAAAGCAGGTACTGCGATCATGTCAAATCAAGATATAGTGAAGTATATTCAAAAACTGTCATATAAACCATTCTCCCTAGGTTTTTTCTCTGAAGATGGTCTCCAGTGCTCTAGGGCTTTCTATCTGTGACCAATTAGATCACAATTCCTTCTAATATTACTACAATAAACAATAATTTTCAATCCAAATTGCATGGACCAGAGTAGCTTTTTCTGTGTGATTTGAGGTCCCATAAAAACATTCCCATTGTTACAATGCATGTAAGTATAGTAGTCACAAACAAATACATAGTTAAATAAGAGGTTTTCATCCAAGCTTTGCAAAAGTACAGTGCTGGGACAGGTTCTTAACTCTAGTAGTATAGAAAATTTATAAATACTTTGAACATGGAGTGCACCTGCTTTAGGAAACAAACTATTATATATGTGTTATGCAAGACTTCATATGATAAAGAAAATTTAAGTGACACAGATGATCCATTCCATCCTTTGGCCTGCTCAGAGCGGGTATCATTTTGTAGGCTGTTTCTTGTTTTCCATATACTGGCCCTTTCTTAGATTCACAAAGTTAATAGCATGACTACATCCATGTGTATTTGGTATTTGTGGAACTGTGCATATGAATAAAGATTGCTCTTTGATATCACCTTCCTTCCTTTGACTTAAAGTCTCACCAAATAAATACAAGCGCCATGTTGGTGACTTCCTTGGAGATACGCTGATTTACAACAGCAGAGGTGTAAAACTATGGTATTTCTGCCTCTTGCAAAAGTACAAAGGGGCTTTCAAAAGGAAACTATTTGGAGCTGTACTTTGTTTGCCATTAATTGCTGTGCATTCAAGAAAATGCCACATTATTCTCTGGAAGGTTTTCTGTTGGTAAGCCATTGCATAGCAGATAATGTCATAGGAAATTACTTCTTTCATTATCTGTGTGTGCTTCTAGTGATTTATGCACAGTCAATAGTTCTGATGATCCCTTCCCCACTTTTATTTACTTCAGTTACTCTGTTGAATTTTCTTTTTTTAGGGGCATGCATATATCAATTTCTTGTTAAATCATGACTAGAAGAAGCAATGCCACTTTTTGTTTACTAGGCTTTTCCATTTGCACCAGCTGCTATGAGACAGAGCAGAAATCCTGCTTAAAAGTTCTCCAATTATGCTTCATTATTTTATAACATTTTCAACAGCTGGATGCTTAATTACATGCACTACAGAGCAGAAGTATTTTCTCTCTTTTGGCAAGTGTGCAGCTGCAAATCTTGTGGTTTTAGCATGCTATCTAGAACACATTAATCATCCTTCTAAAGATTCCTATCAGCAATAGCAATGGAAAATTAGTTATGCAACAAGTAAATGATCAATATGTACTTTAAATATTATAATTTGCAGCTATAGTGCTTGAAAGCATCTAATACTATTAATGAAATAAGTATTGAAGACCACTTTATTCTTAAGAAATATATGAAGCCTCAAAAAATATGAAAAAGTACTTGTTAGTTTTAAAATCTATTCTATCAGCTCCATGGAATCTACACAGCTTTCTTCTGCAACCCAAGGGGACAGGTTAAGGAAGGGTTAGAGGTGTAGTTTGTTTGACCTAAACAAACAAAGGGGCCCGATAACAAAGCTGGAGAGGTACATTTGACAAGGGCATATTCCGTTCAGTTGGAATGGCTTCCAACTGAAAAAGAGTAGGTTTAGATTGCATATTAGAAAAAAATCCTTGGCTGTGAAAGTGGTGAGACATTGGAACAGATTGTCCAGAGAAGTTGTGAATGCCCCAGTCCAGGAAATGTTCAAGGATGGAGCTCTAAGCAGCATGGTCTGGTAGAAGGTGTCATTGCCCATGGCACGGGGCTGGATCTAGATGCTCTCTAAGGTCCTTTCCATCCTAGGTCATTCTGAGATTTTCTTTGCTCCTATAGTTGGACAGAAAAATCCCTGCTCACCAGAGCACCACAAACACAAAAATTTGTCAGCTGGCACCCTGGCCTGATTATCAGTATTTGGGCTACATATGCCATTCTATAAAACTTGCACAGCTTTTAAATCACACAGGGAAGTTGCATAAAAGTAATTACTTTTCAGGACAGAGGACAACATGAAGCAGCTGCAGAAATTCAAAGATCTCTTTATTCACCTATTTTACCAGGTAAGAATTTACATTGTTTGGAAGTTTGGATCTGTAACACTGTCTGAGTTGGGAATATGGTTACCCAAAGCAAAGCCCTTTAATGAAACTGTTTCATGTAGTTAACTTTTTTTAAATTTAAAAAGAATTTTGGTCATTTGGGAGGAGTACACAGAGAAGGAAAATGACAAGGTTTTTGTGAATGACTACAAGATGGGATGATAAGTCTCAGTTTAATATCTTTGGTTTGGCCTCATAATTCCCTACTTCTTAAAAGAAACTGGACCTAAAACTACTTTGCTGACATCTGCCTCCCTGATTTTCAAAATCAGAAATATCACTACAGTAAAATGTGATTAATTGATCCTTAAAAGTGGAGATGCTAGTCCACTGACAGTAAAACTACAGAAAAATGTATTTCTATGTATTTAGACATTTACAGATGCTAAGGATGACACAAAACAGAAGACACACAGTGTGAAAAAGAATAACTGCTGCAAAAAAGGGGTAACAAAATTTTTCTGAATAAGACAAATTCTTCTGAATAAGACATTGATTATCCCCAAACCACTTCTAGCACTGATTATTGACTACTTCTGTAAAGAGGAAAGTAATGAAAAGCAACATAAATAAGAAAGCTGTGGAAACATGTTTTATAGGGAGAAAAGAAACAAAAAAAAATTACCCTGTCTGACTTATTACAGACTCTTGTGACTGCACTTCCAGTCATGAGAGCTGTACATTCCCTGATACCTCAGCCTGTCCCAGTGACTGCATCCTTCCCACGCTTACACACCAGCTTGCTCCTTTCCTAACAGTCCTCAACACTACACAGAGTCCTTGATAATGCAAGCTGCCTCCCCCCCAGTAGCCATTCTTATC